TCATTTCCCCAATTCCCCCGACGGCAAGGGCAACCACCCACTCCCGCCCTGGGAACGAAGGCTTTGTTCACTTCCCATGCGGGGAAATCTGCTTCCACTTTCAAGAGCTGGCCGCTGCTTGCCGCCAAAGGGGAAAAAACCCGAGGCATCCGGCGCCTCCAAAGGACGCTTCGGGTGACCACGCCGCCAAATCCCCGAGCTGGTTCAGCTAAGCTCCTTCGGTCATCCCTACACTAAAATTAAACCAAGAAAAAAAAAAAAAAAAAAGTTAAATAATAAATTGTTATTGGTGCCAACAACCTCGAGTCATTTCTTCACTAGCCGCCAGCTTGGCAGCCATTTGAGTCGTGTCTTCGCTTTCGCATTGCTTCTTTTGTGACGTGTCGTGTGGCTCGGTCCTCCGCAAAGCATATTCGAGTGCGGTCAACTTCCCTCAACCACTCGATGGTGTTTCACCCAGGGTTCAATTCACAAGACATATTGGCTCGTGCGGTGCTATCGCCACTGAATGGAAGAACAGCATTGAACGTCGCCATTCTGTCCCTCACACAGGCGTTTGAAAATACACACGTGGAAAACACGTGCACAGTGCCTTGGGTTGTCTTGATAAAAAAAAAAAAAGAGCTTGCAATAGTTGCCAGATCATGTTTAAGATCTAACTCATTCTGGACATGCTTTTAGATCTGGTGTTGAACTTCTCTTTTTTTATAAAAAATTTATTGATAAACTGGGAGCGTATCCTAAAAGGGGGCGTGGTCACACGCTACTTGCTTTAGGAAAAGGTGTTTTCAGCCCGAAATACGAGTTTCTAAGAAGAGTGTGACAATGGAAAATGTGCAAAAAGAAATACTTTCCAAATTGCAAAAAAACTAAAATAATTTTTTTTTAAATTTTGCTTACTTTGTGCTTTAAAGGAGCATTGACACTGCAAAGGCACTTTTTTTTTATCTAATACGATGAAAGTTGTACTAATAAACACAAAAAATAACGCAAAAAAATATTTTTTTTACGCCGGCGAGCGCTTTTTTTTTTTTTTTGGCGTTATTCTCTCTTTTTTCACCTCCTCGCTTCTTTTCATGTGTGACGTCGATTATGAAATTTAAAAGCTTTGTAAGCGACATTTTTATAATATTTAATAACGGCTTTTTTTTTTTAACGCAATTATGAACACACTACTATCCTTCACTTGAAATAACGAAAATCGGAATGCGGAAATTCTGTCGTCTCCTGGCTTTTTATCCTCCCTCGGAAAACGTGGCGGCGCTCGGCACATGTAGCACTGAGAGAATGATCGGGGAATCGGACAAGGCGGTCTCTTTTCGGTGCTCGACGACCTCTCGGACATCCAAAAGGAAATCGTCAAACGGTCAGAACAACTGGGTTTCGTGCCTGTGCGCCGTAATTTCGGTTGTGACTCCGCCGGGGCAGCCTTTCGCGCAGCACCAGCACGACGTGGCCCCCTCACAACAGTCCACTGCACGTACTCTTCAACCTCCACCGTTTCAAAAAAAAAAGAAAAAAAAAATTCTGGCTTTAGAACTTTCAACTCGAAAGCGAGACGTCGTCTGCTCACAGCGAGAGGCGGCACGCGCGGATGAGCCCGGTTGATCGCGGAACGACACACACTCCCAGTCGGAACGGTTCGAACTTTGGAGGCGGGGAAAAAACTCGAGTTACAGGACGACTCAAAATGTCTGACGTCACTGCACCGGCGCGCATTGCGCGGGAACTTCAAACTCGGCTTTTGGAAATTGCTTTTTTAGTTCACAAATACTTAGTTACCAAGCTTCAAATTTTCCATGTAATGTCAAAACACCCTTTTCGATCGTTTCGAATAAAAAGAAAAAAAGATTACTTGTCAGTGCGTGAGGCATTCACGCCATCGCTGAAAGCAGACCTCGAATCTTCGTTGAAAACATTGAAGTGTGTACTGTTGGACCCACTTCTTTGTAGCCACTTTCACCTCATCTGCTCCATCAAACAGCTGTCCTTGAAGGCTGTTCTTCATTAGATCAAACAGGCGGAGGTTGTAGGGTGCTGGATCCAGGCTGCATGGAGGAGCAGGGACGACCATCCAGCGCAATTTGCCGATCGCGCAATCTGTTGCCAAAAGCGTGCGTGGTTGTGCACGGTTATAGTGAACCGCTTTCAGATTCTTGTACAGTCTCTTCCATCTGGTGGCTTTGCTATGCTTCTCAGGTGTCTCAAGGATTGTGAATCCCCTGTCCCCGAGAGTTAAAGCTACGCAGCTTCTTGAAAAAAGATGAGTTAGAAGTGAATTCTAGTGTATTTTTACCCCATGAGCACGAATACCCAAACAATTTGCTGCGCAAATATTGACAAACAAGAGGAAACGCGAAAGACAGTCGTTGTACGTGACGTCATCGACGGATCTTTTGGCTGCCCAAGGCTACGGAGGCGGGGCTCCAGCCCTATTTTAAAATTGCTCTTATGGCTCTCTGGCGGGTCGCATAGAAACATAATTGTGATATTTGTGAATCTAAAGGCCAAATGAACGCAATTCAAGTGTTTTTTCTCAAATGCTCAAGTGCCCCATCTTCCCTTTAAGGATTGCGATCTTCGAGCTCACAGAGTGTGACTCGCCGACGGTTTGCGTGAGTGGCCGCAATTATTGATCTCCCACTGTGGGGTTTATCTTTAATGCTGGCTCCCCTTTCTTTGAACTTCACCCATCTTTGAGTATTGGTCTTGTCAATGGTGGCATCTGTGTAAACAATCTGTAGCCTTCTGTGAATGTCGGACACATTGCACCCCTCCTTCGTCAAGAACTGAATGAAGGCAAGCTGCTGCTGCTTGGAAGTCGTTATTCACCACCCACGAACAAAACGTTCTAAAACACTCGTATAAAGAAAGAGTTGCTCTAACAACATGTGTCATTTGAACATCCTATGTTGGTTCATAAAAAGGTTATGCCCCCTTGTGCAATACTTCTGATACAACCCTTGTATCAATCAATCAACGCAACTACTTTCTCGGCTGGTTCTAGATGCTTGCTTAAAGTGCCAACTTTGCATCTCTCCAAGCTAGAGAGATGCCCGACCTGGCTAGGGGGGGTGTTTGGGGGTCGGAATACTCCCTGACATGTTTTCGCTATTTCTCCTTCTTTCTGGCACACACCATCAAAACATGAAAGCAGATATCTAACGTGCTCCAGCAAGAGCCCCGATTCATAGAGCAAAAAGATTACGATGAAAGGGAGGTTAACCTGGTTTGTAGACTTTGTCGTTCACAACGTCACTCCTTTTCCCCTCTTTTGAAGAACCATTCTCCTCCCATAAAAGTAATTGCTCCAAGCCCAAGAGTAATTCAGTTTTTCATGGAGTGGGCAATGAGTGTCCACTCCCTGTAATTATTCGCGAGAAAACTGTAAAGTAAAATTGCACTGTTACCCCCGGGCTCCGTTGCGACACAAAACATTTGCTGCTGTGGCTCACTTAAAGTCGCACCAGCACCTGTCACATCAATTGACATAAGGAATAAAAAATAGCATAGTTGTCATTTTTTTTTTTTACTTTTCGCGTCAGTTTTATGGAAAGATTTTTTTTTATAGCAGTCAAATATGCTGTCATACATATACTGTTTTTTGTTTGTTTGTTTCAATACCTGTGTTATAGAAATAAAAAGTGATTACTTCCTTTCTCCTTCCTCCAAGCCTACTACAAAAGCAAAACACCCCCCAAACAGAAGTTTTTGGCTATGCCACTGGTGTCAAATCTTTGGAATGATTGACAAAAGTTTTAAGGCTGCTTCAAATGGTCAAGTCTGTGTGCAACCGAGAGTACTGTGTTCCCTCCAGATCGATTATGGCGAGAGAACACACTAAATCATCTATGAGAGCACTCCCAATTTCTATATACTTCCTAATCCTTTCACCGTCAGCTCAAAAAATGCCTGAGAATGTTATAAGCAGCCATTTCTCATTGATAGTAGGTATAATTGATCTTGCAAAGCCTGCAGTCTCGTTGTCTGCAGTTCCAGGGTTTCCCGATAGATGGCGCCAGCGCGTTCTCTCATTGTGAGGGGTCACAGACGCACGGTACACCCGATCACGCTCAAACGCACGTGCAAGAATCGGCCTCTATCACTTCGAAGACATAGTTCGGCTACGTCAAAAAGGAAGGCCCAGTTGAGGCAAAGGTAGATGGAGGAAGGGACGAATTAATATGTACTTAAAAAGGATTTGCACAAACTAGTCTGGCAACCGGGTTGAGACAATGCTCCAAAACAAAACTAAGCGTCCGGAAATCCCACTGCCGCGGTACGTGGATGAAAGTCACAAAAAGGTTTGTTGCTTCGGCAGATCAGGTGCGGTGGGCAGAATTTCTATTCCTCCCGCATTTTCTGTGCGTCAGAGTCACGGGTGGGCACGGTTGCGCGACGGGACCGGAATAAAGCGTTCCTCTCGGTGCCTGCCGACGTAATCCACCTGCAACGCCGGAGAGGGCCGATGTCGTCCATTCCAGGTTAAGACACCTTCGGTTAATCTGTTCTACTATGGTGCCTGAAACATGTCTTGACCGATGCGTTTAAGCTCCTATTTCGCCCGTGCACCCAAAGTGGTATCGAAGAGGCAACCGACTTCACAGCCGGAGCTAGCGCGTCATGCTGTCGGATGCTGTGATCCTGGCAGTTGGGTCATAGAAGTTTCGGTAAAAGAAAAACGAGAGATTGGGGAATGCATGCGTGATTGTCGTCGTAGCGTTTCAGTTTCCGGCTACCGGTGCTTCCTTGGTTTGCCCGGCAAGAGAACGAGCTGCAGCAGGGCAGGCATCTGCCACATGCACCTCCACTGGGACAGCAGTGAGTCCCGGCACGACTCTTTGATGACGCCGGACAGAAACAGAGTGACCACGAACGAAGACGCAGTAAGCGCACCCTACGAAGAGGTGTTACCGGCACCCCGATTCTATCGACGGCGACAGGGTCCGGCCTTCCCGCCGCGACGATCAAAGCCGAGTGACCGGTGAGGGTCCACTCACCGTTCAGCTCCGGCGAGACGAGTCCGGCCAGGTCTGGCTCTTCTCCGTACCAGAAGACCCAGAGCTCCCGACGGTGTGGGAGCTCTGGGCGCGCCACCCGCCGCCACACGCACAGCAGGTCGGCCGCCAGGCACTTGGCAAACGACGACAACACGGGCTCCGACAGGGGATCTGCCGCGGCGCCCCCGCCACCCCTGTGGGGGCCCCCTCCGCCCAGGGAGGGGCCCTGCTGCTCCGAGCTCAGACGACGCCATTTCAGGCCGCACAGGTCCGCCTGGGGAGAAGGAGGAACAACGAAGGTCATGGGACGGCAGTTCCAGGCAGGACTGTTCGGGGACGCGTTCGTGTTCCCAGCGAGCCACATGGGTCATACAAAGAATTTGCAGGCAACATGTGCCGCGTAATTTTATTGGGAATAATGCATCTTTTTATAAACCTTCCCAGAAAAGATAATGAAACATCAAACGAGTACACATTTTTCTTTCACATGGGCTCCAACGGAGTTTTAAAGTTACGTATTCTTGACTGCCACGAATCAAAGGTAACATAACTTGGCTTTTGCCCCTGCTCCTGAATTGCAGACGCTCCTATGTTTAAGCATTTGGAAACGACACTTAGGCTATTTCCCTGCATATAGATGGGGCATAAAAACTGTGGGAACCATAAAGACTTTTGCTCTTTGATGCCTGAGCATGACATATACCAAGAATAAGTCAGTCGGTAGACATATTAAACAATATAGCTAAATGAAGAGTTTGCAAAATCAGTTGCTACAATGTTTTATGCACATTGAGCCACTCTTTCGGGGCAATAGCGGAAAACTTCATAGTAGCTGCATATACGTGACAGGAAACAGCGAAATGTCGAGAAAGAAAAGCGAGCAATAACTTGTTTGTCCTACTACGGAACAAATTAGCTCTCTCTTCTACTGAATATCAGACGCTGCGCATGCTTCGACCGCGCAGTGATTCGGCATGTTTCGCGGCGGTAATAACGGCTGGAAAGGTGGTATACACGGTGGATAGTTACACCAGTCCTCAACGATCCCAGTCGTCACGTGACTTCGACCGGCCTCTGGAACGCGGATCTTGCCCAATCGCGTGACGCAATGAGGCACGGGATCGGCGAGGCCGGCTCGCAGCTTTGTCTCCCCGCAGTCGGGGGAACAGTGAGCGCAGCCAAGTATTTGTTTTCTCTCTTTGGTTTTCGAAGCCCAGGTTTGAGAGGCCGGCCGGGTCCGGGGGAGTAGCGTGGCGTTCGCCCCGACGAAAGGCATCAATCGCGCGAAGGCGGGCGCTGGTGCCGCTCTGGCGATCGATCTGCCCGCTCGCCGGGGTCCAGGCGACGCAAACCCAATTATGCTGCCCCGCTTTAATTAAACAGAGTGAGGCTGCTGCCGCCGCTTTCTGCCCGACGGCATCGGCTCGCACGCAGGACGCCCAGGAAGTTCCCCCCGAGCCGCGGCCGACTGCGCCACCCCCGCAGAGCCCAGCGTGCCGTGCCGCGCGCGAAGCGAAACCTCGACGAGGAAACGAATCGCGCATCGAGACGCGCTCCGCTGTCCCGGTTTTAGGATTCGCCGAGTCTGACGCTGGACTCCAGAGTCCGGACTCTCAACATGAACTCAAAACAGCGATGAGAGCTTTGTGGACGTCTTCACGTATCTCTTTCGGAGTCCACCTGGATCGAAGGGGAAACACAAAACGTCATATACCTTTTCAACGCTTATCGCACGGGCGAATAGCTTCCGGCAACGTCGGAGCACTGCGAAAGCTACGCTGACCTCGACAACGTCACGCAAAAGCAATAATAGACTCTTTCCGGAAGTCATTCCACCCCCCCTGTGCAGAGCCAAAGCCGACGCTGTAATGTCGGCACTACGTAGCTTCTCCAAGCTAGAAAAAGCGAACTTCTTCGAAAGCACAGTGCAGAACAAGATGGTGGTCCTTTTACGTCACCTTCGATTCACGAACTCGAGGGTGCTTGATTTAGCCGAGCGTCATCTCCTATCGCCGCCATTAGAGCGGTAATATTGAGAGGATTTAGTGACTGCCACAAGGTGACTCGGACCTTTGAAAAGGGTCTATTGACGCCGTGCATTGATTGTTGGTGTTACCTTACAGGGGTAAGCCAACACGAAATGATATCGGCTCGGCTGGAAACACTGTCGGGAAAAACGACAACCCGTACATTTGACAAACAAAGCGTCGTTCTCGTATTCCGCGTACTGGCGAGTTTCCGTGGATTCTTTCCGTCGTCCCGCTACCCGCTACGAGATCCGAAACTCAGTAGACAAGGCTAGAGGCGCGCGGGGAGAAAAACGGACTACGAAAACTCCCCAAAACAAAGCACCGCAACGTCGAAATGTTTCAAATTTTTCTCGTAATGTCAGCGTGACTCACTAGTCGAAATCCCCACGTTACCGGTGTCAACTGCCATTTTTCGGCAAACGGCGCAACGAACGCCGTTATAATAACTTATATAAGATAAGCCGAATAACACCAAACTGCGAAAAAAAAAAGGCGATAACCGTCGCGAATTCCGCGGGGGCCGAAGAGAAAGCGAGCATCCGGGACACCATCGGAAATCCCCCGGGGCCGAATCCTCCGCTTTACCGGGACGTGCTCCGTTCCATCCGTGTTCGCAGCCAACCGAGCCCGAGGGCAGGGGGGGTTCGCCACACCGACTCGTCAGCACCCGGAAAAAGAGAGTCGTCGTGGCGCGCAAGCGAGCGAACGGGCGAGCAGCCGCCGCTGCCCCCGAGGCCCGCTATGCGTACAAGCCCCGGAGACACGGAAGCAAACGACGACGCCGAGGAGAGAACACCGTACGCCCTCGACGACGAAAAGCGCGGTGGCCGCCCCTCCCGTCCTCGCCACCGATAAGCAGCGCGTGCAGACGCCGGGGGGCCCGCAACGACGAGGAGGGAAAACAAACCGCCGCTAAAGGAGAAGGCAAGGGGCGGAAGAGCGCGGCCGAAAGGAGATGCCACGGAGGGACTCGAAACAATTAACGCGGCATTTGGGCGTCGCAGCACCGCGTGGGAGGGTCGGGAAGGACCCGAGGTGCGGGGGAGCGGGAGGAGGCGCCGCAGATCAATGACTGCCTGCTGGCCCGCCGCCGACGACCAAGACGCGCAGGAGCGCGAGTGCCGCTGGCCCGTGTCGCTGGCAGCAGCCATCGATTGCACGTTTTGCTGCTCCTTCCCCCCAAAGAACGCCCGCTGCTCCGGACGCCACTCCTCCCCCACAACTCCCCCGCGAGCGCCGCGCTTCTGATCGCAACGAGGGCTACGCATAACGTCGAAATTTGCCCACGTCTTTCTTCTTTTCTTATTTTACTTGCGAAGAATTTGCACATCCCGTGATTCAAATATTTTTTTTCCAGGATAAGCCGCGTGCATCTAGTGAGCAACCTTGATTCGTAAACAACTTCGAAGATTCTCAGAAAGCTGGCCGAAATGGTCAAACATCTTTGACCACTGCTATGCTAAAAAAAAAACTTTAAAAAAAAATTTTGATTTTTTTTTTTTTTTTTGAGAGAATTAGAACATGGGGAAACAGGGGAAAGGGGGGGGGGGGGGGCGGGAGGCGACATACGTACGATTTTGTGGCGATCGTTCTCACATATTCGAGTAGCGACAAATCGAACAACGCACGCGAAACGTGTCCCTCGACTGCGGTCTAAAGCACCTTCCCTCTTTTTCCCTAGACGAACAGCGACACCAAACCGACGGGAGCAACAGTAGGCAAAAGCGAGAGGGAGAGAAAAAATCGAACTGTCGGAGGTCGATCTCAATTTAGTCTTTTTTATTGACTTTATACCTTAAACACCGACAGTAAATAGGGCTAAAAAAAAAAAAAAAAGACAGGACGCGTTCCCCACGCAGCCCTACCGTCCCGCACAGAGAAAGGGGGAGACCTCCAACGAGCGTTCTCGCCTCCCGCGGCGCGCGTGCGCGGAGGTTATTTGCGTGTTTGGGTTCTTTCCGTCCACCCCGTGTTCCCCTTCCACGCGAGCGACACCGCCGAGCCGCCGACCGATGCCCGCCTCCGAGAAGAAGACAGAAAACGGAAAAAGCGCCGTCGGACGACGACAACGGCGACGACGACGCCTCGCCTCCCTCCGCTCCCCATCGCGGCCATCTGGAATGAAAGCCCCGACGCTGCACCGGCGGGAATGCCACGCAGGAAAGCTTTCGATCGCTCGCCGGCGCTCTCGCCGTCGCTTTCCCCCAATCCTTCCCCACCCCGCGCAGGCTGCTCCTCATCTCTGCAGTACGCGATTGTCGAGCGCCGGCATCGCCCATGTCCCAATTACCTCGTGCCGTTTCCAGTCGACGGCGGACGGAAACACCCGACGCCGATGGACGGAACTAACTGCGGCACTAAGCGCCAGCGACCTTCAACTCCTCAAGGTCCATTACTGTACAAAATGCAGATATTTTTTTTTTTTTTTTTTTTTTTTTTTAAGGAGCGATTGTAGAAATGTTTTCGAAAGGTTTACACTTTACACCCCAAAACAGTAGTTTTGGGGTGTAAAGCACATATCGTTTAACTAACTGACGTCCAGTAACTTCGCGTCATGGTGTCAGATCGTGTGTTGTCGCGTGATTTGACGATTCATTACGTGAACTTGGGTGTCACGTGGCAGAACGATTCTGCTCATATGCCCTGCCGTGGCCCATGGGGCGTTTCCGGGAGTACGTTATAAATATTGTTCCGCGTTTTGGGATAAATCCGATAAGCTCCGAAAAACATCCGCCGGAAAACTTGACAATTCGGATTTATTCGAGGAACTCCGAATTTCCAAGTCACGATAACGAAATAAAAAGAAAAAAAAAAGAGAAAAAGAAGGTATTTACGAATAAAATTTGTCAGAGCACACGGGCTTAGAGGTCCCGAGAGGTTCATCTTGAACTACTGACGAGGAGTTTATCTCCTCAAGGTTCTTTCAGTACTTCGTCCGTTGAGTGCCAACGCACTTCTGGACCAAGACAAGAAGCCATTGTTTCGGGTTCCAGTTTGAACCATACTATTTGTGCTTCGTAGAGGGAGGAGAGGGTCGTGTTGTCATAAAGGTGAAATACGTGAACCTGTAGATATCATAGGGTGGGAAAGGCAGCTGAGCTCAGGGTTTTATGCGGCCAGGAGCTATTTCAAAGTACCGACGTTTCTTCAAGAAACATTTTTTTTCCTCAAGATTTGTCGTGGGACGAGTAGTACTGCCAATCGCAAGGATAGCGATGCCAAATGCAGATGCGGAAATTCGGTA